TGAACAGATGTTGTGCTATCCAACAGGTCTTTTAGGTGGAATTCATATGCAAGTACAGTGCTTAGGTTTTCATTAGTTGAATCTGTAAATGGTGCATTCTCAAGTTATAGTCTAAAATGAAGCTTGAGGTGATTGTAGCCGTATTAGTGCACTTGCGACAGAAACAATTGAGTACTGTCCGTGAAATTTTTTTATTTGCACTAACATACAATTTTCAGGACAAGCTTTCAGGGTATGTCCCCTTCTTCAAGGTCCAAACAACACTCATTGGACCTTGAAGAAGGAGACATACCCCGAAAGCTTGTCCTGAAAATTGTTTGTTCGTGCAAATACAAAAAGTATCACGGACAGTACTCAATTGTTTCAGTCTAAAATGAAGAAACTACAGGTTAGCTGAAGAGTTTGCGGCTGGTTTTTTAGGTGCCTATACATATGTCAATTATCACTATAGATCAGTGGTACCTAAACTATGACCCAGGGGACAGATTTGGGCCTTTGCTTGCCTTTTTCTGGACTCTGGGGCACAATTCCTCCTACTGACACTAGCTTTGTCAGCAGGCATCAGACAGGCGTTTGGGAAGCGTTTTAACGCTTCTCAAATGCCTATGAAAATTCTGCAGATGGCAGAACACAGTGCTGTTCACACTGAAGCGTTAGCGTCACGTTGCATCGTAGCAAAACTGACGCCTCATGTCGAGTCAGGAGGAGTTGAAGCCTCCCATTCAAGTCCATGGTGCTGCTCCTCAAACTCCTGGCAGGCGTTTGCAAGGCGGTTGCGGAGCATTAATACCATTTAACTTCATTATAGGCGTTTGTGGTGCGGTTGTAACGCTTGGCAAACGCCTCAAAACCAAGCATAGGGCATTTGGGGAGCGGTAAAAAACGCTTGCCAAAGGCCTGTCTAACGCCTGTCAGATGCTATAGGGGCATTTGGCAAGAGTTAGAAATAAGTCAAGTCTGAACGAGCCCTAACAGTGAGCCAAAATTACTTTCACTGACACCAACCGCGGATCACTATTCCTCCCACTGACACCAATGATGGGGCATTGTTGCCAACTCCAGGACATTTTATACTCCTACTGGCCACAATTTGGCCACTCTGAAGGATAATAAACTAGCCCTTTGTTAGAAAGTTTTTAGACCCCCTACTTTTGATGATTATAAAAGGTCTTCATTGCTGTCACCTTCCAAGTCTAGGATATCAATCAAATGTCAAAGGACTGGGTTGTAAGGAGCAATGCTTTTAGGGCTGCATCAGCATGCTTGTGTGGCTCTCATATGATGGTTCCTATTGTCCCCTGGATGATATAATATCTAGTATCTGTCAGCTTTGGCCATCACATTGCATAGCCAGGGTTTCTGAAGATGATTATTTCTGTAGAGCCAAGAAGATGACTCGGATGACAGATTGTCTATTTTAGTTTACATAGTTCACATATTGGATGTGTGTTATCCAGCCCTGGACAGTAAGATGCTCATTTAATGACATGTGAGGCCCATGCTGTCCAGAAGTACTGTGAGCCCAAACTGATTTGATAACTATTTCCCCCCCCCCCCCCCCCCCCCCCATGGTCATGTTGAGCTCGACTCCCAGGACATCCATGGCTGAACAGTTTCTACTTTAATCAACCTCACGTTATTCACTGCAGCTGTCAGTAGCAGCTAATTACTATGTATGTATGTATGTATTTTTCTAACCTATTTTTGTTTGTTTACTAAGAAATACTGATGCAAACCTGAAATTCTGTTTGTATAGAAACATTTACGTTTGCATAATTTTTTTGGTTTTGTAGCTCTAATATGAAAAAAGAAATGACAAACAAAAAAATCATATATAAATTTCTATTTATCATATATAATGTTTTTTTTTTTTTTGACTGGACTGTACTTTACAGAGTCTGGAAAGGTTCTTTATATCAAGATGAATCACTTTGTCACCATGTGTCAGTAAATGTGGGTGGTGCTTCACTGTAACCCAGCTTTTCTCAACCAGGGTGGTGTGTGGGTTTGTCTGGGCTGCCATCAAAAATAAATTAAAATTCAAAAAATCTCAACAAACCTGCTGGGTCGTCATGGGTTACATTTTGATTTTCAGTGCCATTGATTAGTTGTTACGGAATACCATAACAACCAATCACAGTGTGGGGTTGATCTATTATAGGCACTTAGGTTGTTCGCTTTGCAAGAGATTTTGCACTTTGCAAGGGAATTTCCCTCAGAACTTAGTGAATGTGGTGAAATTCACTTTGCAAAAAATACCCAAAAACATGCAAGGAAAATGCTGAAGCTGACCCTGGAAACTGTGGTCCTGTTCTTTTGCAGTCTATTCTAATTGAGTTTGGAGATGCTAGCAAGGACTTGGGCTGACCATAGATGGGTCTTTTTTTTTTTTGTTTAAGCAAATTAAATACGGTCATGGTCTGTAAGTTACCTATTAAAGCAGTAGTTTTGATTCCGTTTAGATTTTTTTGTGACCGTATGATGGATTGGAACCAATAGATTAAGACCACAAAAAAAAAACAAAACAGAAGTTATAACCCTCCCTTACTCAGTTCTGACATTAGAACATACAGCCATAATGTAGCCATTCTCAAGATACCAAGTGTTTTGTACATTCAAGCTTGCAGGGTTATTTATGCTGTCATAACAAGTTTATCTTGATGCAGGGTGTATAGGAGAAGAAGCAACGTGAGCAGGCATAAGTGACTGAGGCAGCGCTAGATAATATCACATTAAATAAAATGCAGTGACAAACCATCAATAACTTTATATAAAAAATAATGCAAAATAAACAAAAAATATTTGTGTTTTGTAATCACTATTTGGAACTGTATAATTTTATGGACATTATCTTGGGTGGAGCATTATTTCTTTGGAGTGGTTATTAGTTATTATTTTTGTTTATTTTGCATTTTTAATATATGAGTTATTGGTTTGTCACTGCATTTTATTTAATATGATATTATCTAGCGCTGCCTCAGTCACTTGCGTATTTTTGGTGTGATACACTTGTAAGGGTAACAGCTTGAATGGGTAGTCTGTAATTCAAATTATCAACCCTTTTTGGGGTAGCGCTGCCTCACACTTTCTAATTTAAGGTGACCAGGCAGGTACCACAGACATTGATTATCTCTGGGTAGAACAACAATATTTAGGACTGGTTTTCTAATGTAGAGGGACTGGTTTTCCTTACGTTTTTGTATACCTTTTTAAAAGATGCCATCATGAAATAAGTGGGAAACCCTTTTGTAATCTTTTAAGACATGGGTGTCCAGCCTTTTGACTTTCTTGTCCACATTGGAAGAAGCGGAATGGTCTTGAGTTACACATAAAATACACCTACAATAAGGATAGCTGATGAGCAGAAAAAGTCAAGCAGATCACAAATTAATGATCACTAATATAGATAATGTGCCTAGCTGAGTAATAAAGCTTCATTTTTTTGTAATATTTTTTATTCTGAAAGTAAAACAGGGCAACATAAAACTAGTGCAATATTTGCCACTGTTTACGATAAACTTACGCATCAATATCTGGTTGGATGGATGTAGTATCAATTCTCAATGAATTCTCAAGGTGCTCATTAGATGTATTCTAATTTTGCTCTTTGTGTGCTTCATCCTTGAAAATAATTGCACACAAATATAGCTGCTGCCCGAAAACTGATGACCTCAATAAGGTGTGATTGTGTAGAGTGGGAGATTATGCTTTAGGAAGGTAAAACTTTAGAATAGAAACAAAGAAAAACTTTTTTTTTTCTTTCAAAGTTTTTGCTCTTTGTTTATAACGCAAAAAAGAAATTTTTTTTTTGGTAAAAAAAAAAAAGCTAAAAAAATGCAAACGCTGCAAATTGCTAATGCAAAAACGCTAAAAAAAATGCTGAAAAACCAGGGCTGTGGAGTCGGAGGAAATTTTGGGTACCTGGAGTCGGGTCGGCAAACAATGCTCCGACTCCGACTCTGATTAAATTTAGATTGGAATAAAAAAAAAAAGCAAGTTTAAATGTCCCAATTCACAAAAAGTTATAATTAACAACTTCTCTACTGTAAGAATAAAGACCAATGCATGCAGTGCCTCACGTAACCGCAAAACGAACACGTTAAGTGACCGTGAAGAAGCATGCTTTTCATGTGCTTCACTATATGGCACGCAACGCACAATTAGGAGCGGCAATACTTATACTTTCCATAGTGTTGTGTTCTGCTGTTACAGGGAACACAGCGCCCATGGGTAATAAAAAAATTTTTTAATAAAACTTTGTTTTCATTGTGTTTGTCTTTTGCTTAAACTGTTCAATACAGTAGACTGTTGGCTTCCCAGCCAGTAGTCCTGTGGTAATGACATGTATGTTGCCTTTCTTTCCTTCAAGGAATGTATAAAATACATTCGCATATTAACCACTTGCCTACCAGGCACTTATACCCCCTTCCTTACCAGGCCAATTTTCAGCTTTCAGCGCTGCCGCACTTTGATTGACAATTGCGCGGTCATGCAACATTGTACCCATATGAAATTTTGATCATTTTTTTCTCACAAATAGAGCTTTCTTTTGGTGGTATTTAATCGCCACTGGGCGCTTTACTTTTTGCGCTATAAATTAAAAAAGTGCAAAAAATTTGAAAAAAAAAAAAAAAAAGTTTCTTTGTTTCTATTATAAAATTTTTCAAACAGGTAATTTTTCTCCTTCACTGATGTGCGTTGATGAGGCAGCACTGATGGGCACTGATAGGCGGCACTGATAGGCAGCACTAAAGGGCACTGATAGGCAGTACTAATGAGGTGGCACGGATAGGCGGCACTGATAGGCAGCACTAATGAGGTGTCACGGATAGGCGGCACTAATATGCAGCACTGATAGGCGGCACTGATAGGTGACACTGATGATGGGTACTGATAGATGGCACTGACTGGCATCACTGCTGGGCACTGACTGGCGGCACTGACTGGCAGCACTGCTGGGCTGCACTGGTGGGTGGCACTGGTGGACAGCACTGGTGGGTGGGCACAGGTGGGTGGCACTGGTGGGCACAGGTGGGTGGCACTGGTGGGCACAGGTGGGTGGGCACAGGTGGGTGGCACTGCTGGGCACAGGTAGGTGGCACTTCTGGGCACAGGTGTGTGACACTGCAGAGTGGCACAGGTGGGTGCACTGCTGGGCACAGGTGGGCGGAACTAGTGGGCGCACTGCTGGGCACAGGTGGGCGGAACTTGTGGGTGGCACTGCTGGGCACCGATCATCAGGGCACTGATCATCAGTGCCCTGATGATCCGTGCCGATCCTCGCTCTGACAACTGCCGGTTCTCGGCAGTACTTTCCTCACGATCTGACAGCGTGAGTAAAGTGCAGCCGAGAACCGGCACTTGCATTTCCCTGTGATCAGCGTGTCATTGGACACCGCTGATCACGTGGTAAAAGGCCGGTATGATTGGCCTTTTACCACATCTCGTGATCAGCTGTGTCCGTAGGACACAGCGATCACAGAGATCGCCGGGTGCGCGCCCCCTGGGGCGCGCAGGAGAGCGCGTTCTGGGGGATGTCATATGACGTCCACCCAGAACTGCCCGGCCGCAGTGAAGCCGTCATTCGGCTATCTGCGGTCGGCAACTAGTTAATACAGAGGAGTCGGAGTCAGGGAGTCGGAGGTACACAAAACTGAGGAGTCGAGTCGGAACATTTATCTACCAACTCCACAGCCCTGTGAAAAACTCAAGTTTTTAATGTGATTTTGCACAACTAACGTTACCAGAATTATCAAAAACACCCAGTGTGCATGTAGCCTAAATGAGCAGGCAGCCCCACTGCAAGGAAGAAGTTTTTTTGTTTTCTCCCAGAGATGGGCTTTAACAAAAGTTAAATAAGATTTAAAACAGGCCCTTCCTGACCTCTCTAGTTACTTTTGAAGTGAGATTATTAATTCTCATAGATCCTAGAAGAAAAAAAAAAACTAAGGCCTCATTCACACAGACAATGACACATATGTTATGGTTAAATGCATTTATATGCCTACATGCATTTACAGGACTTATATAAATACATATACATGCATTTTATGATTTTATTTGGTATTTCCGACACTGTGTGTTTACCTGTAAGGTGCATTCAGTATAGCGGAGTTTAAAAAACAAATTCTGTGCTTTCGAGAACAGATGAGATACTCCAACACCAAAATCCTTATAGACCCAGAGATGAATGGTGGCTTGATTAAGGGCTGGTTCACACCACAGAAACTGTCCGGATGCATTTCTTTATACATGTTTTTGATGTATTCCAGTAAATTTTTTCCCCTTTTTTTTCTTCAACTTAAATAAGGATGTGTGTTACAGTGCATTTTTGATGCATTTTTGGTGCGTTATGTGTTCCAGTACAGTTCAGTGCAGAAAAATTGCAGCATGTTCTATTTCTTTTTTTTTTTTCTCTCTAGAATGCACTGGAACTAACCGCACTGGTGTGAACTATGCCAAACCATGGAAACCATGTAACCTATCAATGCGTTTTTGATGCAGAACAAAACTGCCCTGGACTGCATGCGGTTTGCACTGGCCCTTAAAGTGCTTTTTCTGCTTGTTCAGAAAAGGGAATTACTTTAGTTTGCATGGTCTGAGTGCAGGCTCTCTTTAAGATGTCGTAGCACTATAAATATGTACTCCAAACAACACAGCTGCATTCTTTTCTTCTCGGTTGGCTAATGCAATAGTGACCATTAAGTAAATTACTATAACTGCCTGAACGTGGTACCTTCTCCTGATCTATATCAGCACGCAACAGAGGGTGCGGAAAGCTGAGTGAATGCAATACATTTGACGTCAGATTTAATGAACACAAAAGAGTCATTAACAGAGCCCAGGCTGATTCTGGCTGCAAAAGGAGTGGGCTGCTGCTAGCATGGCTTTTTATTTTCCCCAATTATTATTATTATTTTTATTCTGCATATTGGCAGCTTAGCTCGAGTCACACAAGTGGGAGAGATTCTATATTTATATACATGCGTGCGTTCGAAACAGATTTGATGGTTTGAAACAGTGTGTGTGTTTATTTAGTGGTTCAGGCGGCAATGGTTTTAGAAAATGAGTTGGATGGCAGCCTACATATGGGCACAAGGGTGCCGAGTTGCCTTTCCTGGACGCTGCTCTTCCAATTAGCAGATTGGAATAGAAATAAGAAAATATGTCCAGCTTCCAAGGGAAAATGAAAAGGGAGGGGAGCGGGAATATTAACATACGGTAGGTTATTCAGCAAAAAAAAAGGGAAGGGAGTTAACCCAAGGAATAAAGAGTAAACATACTCAGGTCTTAATGTTTGCTATCTTTCAGTTTTACAGTGAGGAACAGAAATATTTGAACACCCTGCGATTTTGCAAGTTCTCCCACTTAGAAATCATGAAGGGGTCTGAAATTCACATTGTAGGTGCATTCCCACTCTGAGAGACAGAATTAAAAAAAAAATTCAGGAAATCACATTGTATGATTTTTAAAGAATTTATTTGTCTTGCACTGCTGAACATAAGTATTTGAACACCTAAGAAACAGCAAGAATTCTGGCTCTCAAAGACCTGTTACTGTGCTTTTAAAAAGTCCACCTCTTCTCCACTCATTAATCTAACTTAGTAGCACCTGTCTGAGCTCTTTAAAGACACCTGTCCACCCCACAGTCAGTCAGACGCCAACTACTACCATGGGCAAGACCAAAGAGCTGTCAAAAGACAACATAGACAAAATTGTGGACCTCCACAAGGCTGGAAAGAGCTACGGGGCAATTGCCAAGCAGCTTAGTGAAAATAGATCAACTGTTGGAGCAATTGGTAGAAAACGGAAGAGGCTAAAGACGACTGTCAGTCTCCCTCGGACTGGGGCTCCATGCAAGATCTCACCTCATGAGGTATCACTGATGATAAGAAAGGTGAGGAATCAGCCCAGAACTACAAGGGAGGAGCTGGTCAATGACATGAAGAGAGCTGGGACCACAGTTTCAAAGGTCACTGTCGGTAGAACACTACACCGTCATGGTTTTAAATCATGCATTGCACGGAAGGTTCCCCTGCTCAAGTCATCACATGTCCAGGCCCATCTGAAGTTTGCCAGTGACCATCTGGATGATCCAGAGGAGGCATGGGAGAAAGTCATGTGGTCAGATGAGACCAAAGTAGAACTTTTTGGTCTAAACTTCACTCGTCGTGTTTGTAGGAAAAAGAAGGATGCGTTGCATCCCAAGAACACCATCCCTACTGTGAAGCATGGGGGTGGTAACATCATGCTTTGGGGGTGCTTTTCTGCGAAGGGGACAGGACGACTGCACTGTATTAAGGAGAGGATGAATGAGGCCATTTATTGTGAGATTTTGAGCAACAACCTCCTTCCCTCAGTCAGAGCATTGAAGATGGGTCGTGGCTGGGTCTTCCAACATGTCATCGACCCGAATCACACAGCCAGGATAACCAAGAAGTGGCTCCGTAAGAAGCATATCAAGGTTCTGGAGTGGCCTAGCCAGTCTCAAGACCTAAATCCAATAGAACATCTTTGGAGGGAGATGAAACTCTGTGTTGCTCAGCGACAGCCCCAAAACCTGACAGATCTAGAGGAGATCTGTGTGGAGGAGTGGGCCAAAATCCCTGTTGCAGTGTGTGCAAACCTGGTCAAGAATTACAGGAAACGTTTGACTTCTGCAATCAAAGGCTTCTGTTCCAAATATTAACTCTGATTTTCTCAGATGTTCAAATACTTATGTTCAGCAATGCAAGACAAATAAATTCTTTAAAAATCATACAATGTGATTTCCTGATTTTTTTTTAAATTCTGTCTCTCAGAGTGGGAAGGCACCTACAATGTGAATTTCAGACCCCTCCATGATTTCTAAGTGGGAGAACTTGCAAAATTGCAGGGTGTTCAAATACTTCTGTTCCTCACTGTATATAACTGACACTGATAAATGCTTTAAAGTAAAATCTTTGCCTTGTTTATGTGCAGGGCAAAGCAATGGGTTCAATTAATAAATGCCCTGTCCAGCTGCACATACATTTCCTTGTTTGCTCCACTGGTCTATTCAACTGGTGATAAATACCTGGGACCCATGGATGTAATGGTGGGAGGCAAGTATAAGAGGCACCCCCATTCTTCCTATGTGACAGAGAATGTGCTTGGTCACTCAGATGCCCATCGCTGTCAGCAGCATGAGACTTTCTTGTAATGTGAAAGCTCCATGTGATGATTTCAAGCTTACTCAGCTTCTCCTCCCTTGCTTATGAGTCTTAAGGCCCCTTTCACATGGGCGGTTGTTCTGCCGCTTTTAAATGCAGGTTTTTTTATTTTGAAATTTCAACACTCCTGGCACACAGATCACTTGCGTTTATCTGTGATTGCGTGCGTTTACATATGGCTGCGTTTAACTGCAGTAGTAAATTCTTGCCTTTTCTTAATGCAACTGTTTACTTATTTTCTGTACTGCGATTAACTGCATTTATGTACAGATAGCTGCGGTACATCGCTCCTGGACTCCGTCAACTTTATTTTTCCTAAACGAATAAAACTGTATGTTATGAAAACGTTGCTAAACGCAGTGTATGAATGGAGCCTTAGGGATGCATTGTCTGCATTTAGCTGCGGTAAGTTCCTCTAACCGCAGCTAAAAGCTGAAATCTAACTGCCCGTGTGAAAGGGACCTAATAAATACAACCATTGGAAAGCAAAGCAAAGCTTTGTATATGTAGCTGGGAAAGGCAACAGTTAAAGTGTATCTAAATCCAAAGAAGAAAATGTAATGTGTTGCAGCTTCTCAGTCTTTGGATGTGGTGACTGTAATAATTTTTTCAGGCTTTTTTCCCCCTTAATTTTGACTTGGTGATCCTACCAGTAAAACCCTTCCTGTATTAGGGTGACAGTGCTCATCTGATGTAATGTGTCTTTGGAAGAACACCTCCGCTCTCCTCTTCTACATAACATATTGTAGATGGGAGTAGTTCTATTGCTAACATAGGTAAACTGACCAAGTCTACTTGAGATGTGCACAGAAAGCTCCCTGGATCTATGGCATGATTGACAGGTGTTTTTGTGTACATGTTGAATGGAATGCACTCATTGGTGTAACAGTGCAAATAAGAGAAGTTCATGTTTATCATACAATTTCAGCGAACCTATTGCTTTACTATGAATGTACAAGACAGATTTCATTTTAAGAGGATTCAACCCTGGCTCTCGGCTGGAGTGGAGCAGACAAAGCCCTAGGCTCATTAAAGGAGAAGTAGGGCCAAAGCTCTCTTGGTCCTATTTCTCCTGTAGGTCACAGGAGTGTACTTCGTTATGCACTCCTGTGACCTATGTTCAGCCAACAGCGGGGCAGATGAGTATTTATCGGAAGTGTGAGATTCAGCAGTT